GATTTTAATATGACTGGAACAGTGGAAATATTCCATTCCCGATACTTTTAGTGCAGCCCTCGTATTAGGTATGTTAAAAACAAATGGGCAAAATATTTCTAAACAAGATACTGACCACTTTTGCCATTTTACGCCACCATGCACCCACACAACGACAACCACATTTATTTATCCCAACTATCCCAACTAATATTATAAATGCGAAAGTAACTCTGTCTGTCTGTCTGTCTGTTACGCTTTCCCGCTTAAACCTCGCAACCGATTTTGATGAAATTTGGCATAGAGATAGTTTGAGTCCCGGGAAAGAACATAGGATAGTTTTTATCCCGGTTTTTGAAACAGGGACGCGCGCGATAAAGTTTTTCTGTGACAGACAAAATTCCACGCGGGCGAAGCCGCGGGCGGAAAGCTAGTTTATTAAATAACCTAAAGAGAATGGGAAACCCCTTGCTTAATTTTATCTATCGTAAAAAGTATCACGAAGATTACAAGCTATCAAGCCACATTAGGTTTTTGTATCAGATTAAGTTCACGGGAAATACCCAATGGGTCAAGTTTTTTTGTTCATACCGCAGCTATATAGTAAAATATTAAGCTGAATAGTTTGTTTGCTTGAACGCCCTCGTCGTTTCAGCCAAATGACGTCCACTGCTGGACAAAGGCCTCCCCTTCGTTTCAGCCAAATGACGTCCACTGCTGGACAAAGGCCTCCCCCAAGGTTTTCCACAATGAACGGTCCTGCGCTGCCCGCATCCAGGCTCTTCCCGCGACCTTTACCAGATCGTCGGTCCACCTAGTAGGAGGCCTGCCCACGCTACGTTTTCCAGCCCGTGGTCGCCACTCGAGAACTTTCCTGCCCCAACGGCCATCGTCTCTACGAGCTATGTGCCCCGCCCACTGCCACTTGATTTTAGCAATTCTGCGAGCTATGTCGGTTACTTTGGTTCTCCTACGGATCTCCTCATTTCTGATTCGATCACGCAGGGAAACTCCGAGCATAGCCCGCTCCATCGCCCTTTGGGTGACCTTGAGCCTTCTTATGAGGCCCACAGTAAGCGACCACGTTTCGGATCCATATGTCAACACTGGCAACACACACTGCTCGAAGACCGCCTAATCTCAGGAAATACCTACTAAAAATATTGTTGTGTTGGATAGTCTAGAAGGCTTTAGGCTATACAGTGTGTCCGGGCATGTAGTGATCAAACTTTAAGGGCGTAATCTAAAGACAATTTTGTCGACGAAAATACTTCAAATTTGGGGCTTGACCCATTTATCGCAAAATTACAAGGATTTAAGTTTTTCATTTTTAGTTTTCACCTCTTCCTTCAAAAACAAGTGAAAGCGTGGGTAGCTTAACATGAAAAAGCAAATATTTTATATCATGCGAAAGCCAATAAAATTATGTATTAGTAGAAGTAGAAAACAGACACAAGTTTCATACATTTTATGGGAGTAAGAATGGATTTAATTAGAAGCATGACTTTTTTCACTTCTTTTTCAGTTATTTTCCAACACAAGAAAAACCAGGTCGTTAAAGTATGTTTTATTTGCATTGTATTCTTAGTGTTTGAGCTATTCTACAAAACGAATGTAAATTTATTAGTCTACGTCTATTAGTTTCGACGCAATTGTTGAACAAAGAAAATGCACTGCCTGAAAGAATCACACAACCTATCCCGACGCACTATGGAAGCGGCTGGGAAGGGGTATCTTTGTTCAACAATTACGTCGAAACTAATAGACGTAGACTAATAAATTTACACTCGTTTTGTAGAATAGCTCAAATACTAAAAATACAATGCAAAAAACATACTTTAACGACCTTGTTTTTCTTGTATTGGAAAATAACTGAAAAAGAAGTGAAAAAGTAATGTATTTTTCTAATTAAATCCATTCTTACTTTCATAAAATGTATGAAACTTGTGTCTGTTTTCTAATTCTACTAATACATATTTCTATCGGCTATCGCCTGATATAAAATATTTGCTTATTAATGTTTAGCTACCCANAAATGCATTTTGAAATCAAACAAGCCAAGTATTATTATTTAAGATTGTTTGTTATTAAATGAATTCAAAATGAAATTTAATATTTTTTATTAAAAATAATACTATTCTACCTTCTAGCGCAGTCGGGTAAAAAGGTAATTCGATCAGAAGGGCACCCTATTTATTACTTTTCTAAGGTTAGCCGTACTACATTCTTTTTTTCTTCTTACTTGCTACCTGTGACAAAAAGAGCAGGTTAGGATAGATGCCCCTAGGTGCATGGGACATGGCCTAACCTAACCTAACCTATACCCAAAAAAAATTAGGCAACTATCCTTTTAGTATAGGATAGGTGCCTTTTTAATAAAAAATATAATAACACTAAAAATCAAATTAAACATAGCTATCCCGTATAACTTATAAGATAGTCTATCAAATTATATAAAAATCTGCTTCATTTTACAGCTGACAAAAAAATTATCCATTTAAAGATACTTACCAATATTATTTCGACGCTCGCTAAGGTCTGACCGCGGAAGATATAAATTTGCTCTCACTGGCTAAACGAATGCACTCTTTGATGGTTTGCGAGGCGAAAAGTGGTACGGGGATGTCCCTTTCTATTATACGTACTATAAATTTAGGCTAAGTTGCTTGTAACATAGTGTACTTAAAATCGCGGCACCTATCCCACTGGGGCATGTATCCTGGAATTACCCTATTAGTAGAAGTAGAAAACAGACACAAATTTCATACATTTTATGGGAGTAAGAATGGATTTAATTAGAAGCATGACTTTTTTCACTTCTTTTTCAGTTATTTTCCAACACAAGAAAAACGAGGTCGTTAAAGTATGTTTTATTTGCATTGTATTCTTAGTGTTTGAGCTATTCTACAAAACGAATGTAAATTTATTAGTCTACGTCTATTAGTTTCGACGCAATTGTTGAACAAAGATACCCCTTCCCAGCCGGCTCCATAGCGCTGCTAACATGCGAAAATGCACTGCCTGAAAGAATCACACAACCTATCCCGACGCACTATGGAAGCGGCTGGGAAGGGGTATCTTTGTTCAACAATTACGTCGAAACTAATAGACGTAGACTAATAAATTTACACTCGTTTTGTAGAATAGCTCAAATACTAAAAATACAATGCAAAAAAACATACTTTAACGACCTTGTTTTTCTTGTATTGCAAAATAACTGAAAAAGAAGTGAAAAAAGTCATGTATTTTTCTAATTAAATCCATTCTTACTTCCATAAAATGTATGAAACTTGTGTCTGTTTTCTACTTCTACTAATACATATTTCTATTGGCTATCGCCTGATATAAAATATTTGCTTATTAATGTTAAGCTACCCACGCTTTCGCTTGTTTTTGAAGGAAGAGGTGAAAACTAAAAATTAAAAACTTAAATCCTTGTAATTTTGCGATAAATTGGTCAAGCCCCAAATTTGAAGTACTTTTATCGATAAAATTGTTCCTAGATTTCGCCCTTAAAGTTTGATCACTACAAGCCCGGACACACTGTATACATCATCCTACAGCCAATAAGGGTAAAGAAAAATGTTGCAAAAATGGGAAATATTAGTTATTTTAATCTATTTTCACGCGTACGAAGTCGCGGGCACATCTAGTGAATAGAATAAATTATGTAAACTTAAAGTTGACAGAAAGCTGATAAAAAATAATATTAAGTATCTATGCCACGAAGGATGGTCGTGATCATTTACGAGTAATACTCGTACTAGTAGTGCCACGTAGTAGTATCTGGTAAGACAGGAATTATTGCTTCATCACCTACCCACGTCAATACAAATTATATAGGTTCGTGACTTCATCGAATATCAATCATCAGCCGATAAATTGAATACTGAATGATGACGATGTTCACAAACATAGATAGGTACTATCATTTTCTCATGGCTCCACTAAACATGATGAATAAATAGGTTCAAACTTAGGGTTCAAAGAGACTTTCCCTTTCTTTACCTTTATAAAAGAAAACCTTATTAAATCTTTCAGACGTTTATTTATTTTGCCTTCTTATTGTACTATAATAAATTGGTAAAGTACCTAATTGTTAAGACATCTGCAAATTGTTAATGATTGCTGTAACATCTCTGTTTAGTTGTATTGAGGTGCCTGGAACACATTTTCAGGATAGGAGGAACATGGAAAGTTTTGTTGAAGTGAACAATAAGTAATAGTGACATCTTGGTAAATGATGTGTAACTACTTCATTCGATATACCTAACTAGTAGAGCTAACATTAATGGCAGTTAAGTGGTGTAGAGAGTAAACCATAGATGGCGTTACTGTTCAAAGAGTAAATCTTTTGACGTGAAAACTCCTGCGCAATGCGAGTTCATCAATGCAATTTTATCATTTAGACTCCCGACTAAGATACATATTATTTCGTCTGGAATTTTAATGAAGTATGCTTGCTGTATTTTATTTTTTTATTACTGGACTATTCTGAAGTATTTTCATTTAATTTGACTTAGTAGGAACTGTACTGTTTGTAGTAAGGCTTTCCTGAATGTTTAGTGAAGCTGATTTTCATTTACAGTTCGGACCGATATATTTTTTCTGGGTATGCGAAATGTGTTTGTATTCTATTCTATTGTATACTATTCCATACTTCATGGGCGCAGCACAAAGATATTGGTAAGATTATTAGCCTCTTTACTGAATGATTATTTACTTTCGTTGGATTTTTGTCGAATACGAGTATATAGTTCCAAAATACTGGACTGTCCTGTCGATGACATTGACAGTGGGGCGCCACCGTCAATACCGGATCGCTGGTTCAAATTTTTGCCATGTTGGAAACCATATAGTTGAACGATGGTAGCGCCCCCCTGTCATTGAGTTTGGCGGGACAGTTCAGCGTGGGTCATCTATATCTGAGTAAGTAGGTACTATGGGAAAAATTATGATAAAACTCAATTACTTACTGTTTTAAAAACTTTATTTACAATGAATTTATTTTACAATCTATGGTCATAACTTATTCTATTGTACATAGATAGGCAATATAACTAAAATGTTCGTAAAACCACTCTTGGCAGTTAAGCTGAATTTAGGTACAAATTCTCGTACATTCTTTTCATAACCTTACATGGACAAAGTTCTGGTTGATCAATTTGAAACAAATAACTTTTACAATTTAATCGGTGGTCAACCAAAACTTTTAAGCAACGTATAAAGGTTTTACAATAAGGTAACCACTTAATCCAATAAACATCAATAATAATATCACAAATAATTTAGGGTAACTACGGAGAGCCTCTTTAGATAACTATAGAACTGGCATTTGTAATCAGTCTAACGCGATGGTGATGAGATAATATTTACAATGGTGGAAACATTCTGAAACTCTAAAACAATTTAATTTTTTAATTTATCTTATTAAATAATTTAACACAATCGGATCAGAAGATGAAACTGTACAAAAATTAAACTAACGTATCCAAAGAGGCGACTAATTTAATGGCAGTGAATTAAGTTAAAGACTTGCATTTTATATTGTCTTCTTGTTAGTTTTGCCGAATTCCCCTATATGATCGTATTCCGTGAAACCTGGGTCTGAGTCGTAATATGCGTAATCGTAGCTCGCATTCTCCTTGTTACTGGCGGGATTCGCAAAGAACGGAGGTCGTGTACTGCTAGTGGGGCGCAGCGGCGCAGGTGGCTGCGTGGGCGGCGCGGGCGGCGCTGTGGAGGCTCGCGTTTGCTGTCGAGGCTCAGGATTCCTCGGGGCATAGGTCGTCGTTGGCCTTACAGGGAAATTTTCACCATCTAAATTAAACGTAGCGGCTGACGCTTCACTAGGCCGCGATGTCGTCGTGTAGGTCTGGTAATAATCAAATGTACGCTGTGATTGTGGCGGTGTTTGCGTTTGTGGTCTGATCGTCGTAGGATAAGTTTTTTCAGGAACCCTTGGAGAAGACGATGGGGTCGGGGCTGGCCTGAACGGCCGGGGTGCCGCTGTTTGTGAAACGGGTTTGAATGGTGGCTGAGTTTTGCCCTTTGGTTTCTGGTCTTCTGGAAGTCGATTTCCACTGGCAGCTATGTTCAATGAGTGTGCTCCCGACAAAAGCTCACGTTCACGTTCATATAGCTCAGGGCGATATTGACCATCGTCTTCTCCTTGTGGTGGGCGGTACTGGCCGTCGTCTTCATCGCTATCTGCATAATTTGTCTGCTGAGCGTCGAAACCGATATTAGTGTTGTATGCCACTGTGTTTAGGTTTAACGAGGGATCTGGCCGATTGGTAGTTGTATATGTAGTGGTAGATGGTGGAGTTGATGGATTAGTGAAGTAGTTTTGTTTTGAACTTATAAAATTATTTTTCTCGGGCTCGTATGATACGCTATTGTAGTTCTTGAAAACCGGGGTGCTTGTTGTTACACGTGCGGGAGAATTATAGTCTAGGGTTGTGGGCGCTGGGCTATTTGCTTTAGGGTTTTTCGCCCGGAAGTAATTTTCCCTCGGGATGTCTGCAACATTAAAACTGTTATGCACCTTGAAAGGACGATCATTTGGTGTGTTGAGACCGGGAGTCGATTGTGCGTCATAATTGTATAGCTCCACCAGACTCTTTTTGAAATTGGCTGCTGGCGTGGATTGCGAAAATGGAGATGGGGTTGGATTAGTTTGGATTAATTTACTAGGTTTTGGAGTAACTCGAGGTACTTCAACGTACTCCTCTTTGTACTCTTTGAACTGAGGCGGTACATTGACTGGTGGTATTGTTTGTCTATTATTCTGTGCCGGTACATTAACGGGTTGTATAGTTTGTCGATTTTGCTGAGGAACGTTAACAGGGTCAGCTTGCCTATTTAGTGGAACACGTCGGTTAAAGTTTTGGAATGCCTGTTGTTCAGGGTGCACAAAAGGTGGCTGGGTGTTTACTGTGGTGGTTAGCTCTGTTGTAGTCGTGTAAGTGGGGTAGAATGGACGTTTTCGTACAAGTTTTCGCTTGGAGTTATCATAGAAAGGTGGGTTAGACTGTTCCGGTGGAGGAGTTGGCGGGTTAGTGTACTGTGTCGTAGTTGGGACAGCTCTGGGAGTCGTCGGTCTCCTGAAGGATTGTCGAGAGGGTGCATGCTGCGGAGACTGCTGTTGAGGCTGCTGCTGCTGCTGTTGCTGCTGCTGCTGCTGCTGCTGTTGCTGCTGCTGCTGGTGCTGCTGCTGCTGCTGCTGCTGCTGCTGTTGACGCTGCTGAGGAGCGGGCGCCGGGTCGTCGCGGCCGCGGTCGCGCTGCCCGCTGAAGAAGTCCGAGGAGTGCGCGGCCCTCAAGTCAGATGCTCCATTGTTTTGAGACAAGCGACGGTCTCCAGTCTCGGCACGTTGGAGACCGAAGTCAGATTCTTCGTCACGATTGCCAGGAGACGACACCTTCTTCGTATCATAACCTGTGCGAAAAAGGTCAACATTAAAACACAAATTATCATACTAGCTATTTGATCTAGCAGCGTCATGGCGTTAAGGTTATAGTTAGCACAAATAGGTATGTTTTTCCAAACGATTGTAGCGTAAAATATGCGGTTTCATTGTACTTCAAGCAGCACAATGCAAGCATATATTCAGTTAATGCCGCGTTATTCTGCAATCCGTTACCAAATGCCACCGTTAACCTTTCAAACGACATGTTGAAACATAGCTTATACGATTATCTGAGATCACACGCTGAACTATGGTAGAAGTATTGTTATTAACCACTAATGAGTCTTTTTATCCAATTGCTAATCATTTATTATACTAATATCCTGCTGCATTCAATCACTGTAACCTTACTTGTTGGTAAAACAGTATTACTTAGGTAGTTAATAGGCGACACAATTTAGCAGTAGCAGTCACCAGAAAAATCTTTGCTACATAATAGAAAGTTTTTTAAAATTATTACACGTTCAAGATATTAAATAGGTACTAAACTTAAATATATTTTACAACATTATGAATAAATCAAAATTTCACTCGTACATCTTCAGAATGAAATTTGAAGAACGATAATAAAATATTTTAGTGCCCATATTCAGTGACAGAATAATTGGTAAATTTATAAATTGATACATAATTGACTTTGAAAGTCTACTGTCAATTTAATTCTTATTGTCGCTATAGTCTGTTGCTTAAAATTTAAACAGTTACTGAATTTTATATATTGCGTGTACGTTCGCAGCTTACATAACTAAACACATAAATAAGATACTTACAATAATTTAGTGCTAATTAGCTGCACTCACAAGTATAGAACTGGCTCAAAATGCTTAGTGACAAAACAGACGTGCGTAATGCATACTTGTGGGTGCGTGTTAGTTGCAAAGCGGCTCACCGGATCCTATCTTGTAGAGATCGAACTGACCGTCGTAGATTTCAGCTGGGCAGGCGAGGGGGTCTTCGTAAAGACCCCAGTCGGTGCAAGTCTGGGCCTCCTGGTGGAACAGAGTCCCCGGGGGACAATAGAACCTGAAGTCTCTCACGCCGCCGCCTGCCACTCGTACGCATACGTGGAACGCCTTGCATGCTGCTTTCGCGTCTGCGTAGTACGCGCCAAGTATGCGGCCACGACAGTTGAATCTTTCGGCTCCCCCTGTGTAAATTAAATAAAATTGGTTTTATTACACTTGCCTTATTGAATTGGAAGGACCAAAGGTTCGATTTAAAATTCTAGTGCCAGTTTTCACCATCAACTCCTAATTTTTAGGTGACTCCTATGGTAACACATAACAGGAATTTTGTTTCCATAGGGGTCACTTAAAAATTAGGGATTGATGGTGAAAACGGGCATAGGTAAGCTATGGTTCGGTATGGTACGGGCATAGGTAATAGGTAAGCTAAGTAACTTTACCTACTCTTCTCAAAACTTAAATTAAGGTTGTACAGAATTGAATGTAGAGTCGACTACTTACACAAATTAGCCAAAAATCGTGTGCTAATGATAACGTTTTATGAATAATCATAAAACGAATGTGTCTTACAATTACAAGGCAAACGCCTCGAAATTTTAGATAAATTAGTAGGTATTATTTATGTATTCTATCCTCTCTGTATCAATTTATTTAAATTCAAATCTGTAAATATGAGTCTTGTAGTGTTAAAATGAAATGTACTATAAATCTTTATTGGTTAGATTAATGGCGAGGCTTGAACTTGATTTGATTCCTTCAGTTATATAGCTATTGTTACAACATCTATTAATCACAATCATTCAATTGCCAATTGTCAATACTTACTCGTACGTGTATTGATAGGCAGTATATTAACTCAAGAGCTAGTTTTACATTTCTGGCTCCAATAAATTATTACGAAAGTAATATTTTTGCAATCACATCGTAAACAAATTGTAACAGATGAATCAGATGAAATCTGCGATTGCCTTGTAAGGGGTAAACGTGTTCTAACTGTAATTCGTGACCGGCCCGTGTGAACCGAGTGCATCGATTGTAGAGCGTGTAGGTCATGCGCTGTCGTTATCGTTATCTAAAGATTATGGTTAGCATTGGGTGCTGGAGTCACGCTGATGATGTAGTACCTAATGGTTAATGCTTATTTACTATTGTATAGTATCTAAATTTTTAGAAGATTATTATAAGTAACTCCAGATAGGTGTCTGGATGTTATTTTCCATGTAATATGTAGATATTGTATGCATGGTCAATGTAACTTGCATTTGCTAGCATTAAGAAGTACTTACCTATATTGAGTATGCCAAGTTACTTGCAAAGCAAAAATACAATGTATCTACATAAGTATTTTTACAATCAGTATTGTTACATTAAGAACATTATTTAGATAATTTTAGACAGTTTAACTGACACTGATGTAAAATACCGAACCGCCCACTGCCGTATTTTACTCATAAACTATAGCAGTACAGCAATTTATTACGATAACCTAAAATTAAGGCAGACAAGCGAAACGTAGAGTTCACAAGTAAATTAATGTAACAGCTGATCTTATCCAAGTACCTGTTTCAAAGCCCACTTTGCATACATGTTTAGTTGCAGATAACACTTTAAACTAATTTAATGTTTCCCACGCAAGCGTAATTTAATGAAGATCAGCCTGATATAATTATGATGACACGTAAGAAATCATTTACGCCTTCGTAATAATATACGTAACACGTGTAATCCTGAATGCTATAGTTTCTGCATAAACTGGTATATGTCTCAAGACGTTATGAGAATACTTATGTATTCAGATTGAATGGCAAAAAGATTTGCATGTTTCTAGGAAGGTAAGTCGTGAGCTATGTTTATTGTTTATATGTTGGTTTTTATAAAGTATATTACAACGTTATATAGTTATAATAATTCTGATAAATTAAGGTTTTACCAAAAGTAATAATTAAATGTCTGAGTCTCCTGAGTGGATGATTTGTGGCTAAGTTAAGTCCAATGGATTCGAGCTTGTTTACCTTGTATGTTTAGATACGAAAATTTTATATTATGGTTATAACATTAATCATGTTTTTCTTCAGAAACTAAGTTTCTAAGTTACGAGCATTTTTATAATACTTTGTTAAGGGAAATTATGTGAAACTTATCTTTTGCGAACAAGACATGTACGAGTACCTAACTGAAATACATTTTTCGACAGATAAACATTTGCATAGTAGACTTCTGTGAATAAACTCTTCAACGTAAAGAGATTATGAATGGCCACAAACTATGAGTAGATATTAGATCTATACGGACGGAACACGAAAATCATGTCACGTTTCAATGCAATTTTTACTGTATTATAATATTTTTCTTTAACATACAAATCCACCAAACAAAGCTCCATGCACCACAATTAAGCAAGTGCGTTCTCTTAGTTATAATGTTGTTAACTCTAAATGTTCATTAAAGATAGACACTGAACTGAAACAAAAAGGTTATTCGGCTTGATGTCCGTTTGTTCCCCAGCCGAGGCTAATGAGGTTCCCATGCGCGGGGGTGAGATAACGTCGCTTGCGCAAGCGCAGCCAGCCGCAAGGTGCCGCATCCTCGGCGAAAGGTCAGCGCACGCACGCCACAGGTGGATCTATACTAGTAGGCTCACTCAAATAATCTCGACAGTCGTAAAGTCAAAATCTATAGCACTAAATTAACTGCTATCATCGAACTGGGAATGGTGTTTTAATAAACACAATTCAAATATTTATGACTTATTATAAGTTATTGATAATTTTCTCTTACTTGACGAATTTTGCCGAGGCTGATGTTACAATTTTCCAGTGAATTGAAAAATTTCTAGTAAACAGAATAATAGCGTTTGGAAAGAAACTTAAATCGCAATTTATTAATAGGTTTTCTTCTAAAAGATCACCTACCACAATTTTTTTATGACCTTGACGAAATCGTAGTAGGTACCTCGAACGTAGTACGTAGCTAATATGTATCTAGCTTGCTATTTATTTTTTTGCTGAATAAAATTTTAAAGTGTTCATATTAGCTGGTACACTCTATTGCCAGTGCTAGATAGCTTGAAAAAGTATTTTAAAGATAAATATAGCTGGTTCTGTCTACGTTTATATTGCTTATTTATTTTATTTGTGAGCCTACTGTTACTTTCGTTATTGTACCGGCCGGTACTGTACTCTTATGTAAATATGCACCTACTACGCGAGCGAATCTTGCGCACAGAATTTGAAGCAGCCAGTGACAAGCCGATATTTCGAAATGTGATTGAGTTATTTACGACTCGATCCAGATTGCTCCATTTACATTTATTAGTGAGCGAACATCAAATTAAAGTAATCGATATGTCACGTTTGAGGTGTAGTTCAATAATTTGATAAATATACCACTTGATTGCGAATTAGAGCCGCGAAGAGCATCCCGTAATTGACTTAACTGCAGCCTTATTGAAATCGATAGTTCTTGTTACTTGCCCCTCACCCCAAGTGTTGAAAGGTTAAGCAATGATGTTTACAATCATACATAGTTAGTTTTGCTGGATGATGGTATGCGCAAAGATAAAACTATTTCGTAATGAGTGGTACTTGTACCTACCGCATACGGGTGGCTATTAGCCTGGTTTTCGTTTCATAAACAGATTCGGCTCATATCATCTTGACAAAGCATGAAATGACATTGTTGTGGTATATTACATTTTTTTTACTTATTTTGCCCATAGCGAAAGATGTATTTGTTTTGCCAATGTCGCAAATATGTGGTTACATTTGTAACACCGGAAATAACTCTGTTTGTTTGTTTGTAAACGTGCAATATTGTCAGTGTTCTCAAATTATGCTAATGCACTCGCAAGTATTCATGCAGTGACGTAACATTGTTTTGATGAATCAGTAATTCATAACCGATCAATCCTACTTGAGCATGACTCAATAACTTGTACATTTTATTCATTGAGTGACACAAAGGCGCGACGGGGAATCTGTTTTTTCTATTTCGTATGGTATTTCTCACGCGAGATAATAACGTTGCAAGAAATAACAGTTGTCATTGGGCAGGTATTGTGAATTTTGAATAATGGTTTGGTGTGCGGCTTAGGCAAGCTCAATTAAAACCCAACAAAAACGTGATTTTGCACGGCGCTAATTAAGCGTATAATATTTCAGCTAATAATGACTCTATACGTATTCCTCCTCTTTTTGCGCTGGCTCTATAATGAATTGCAGTTGCTATGCGGTGTTACACCACAAATGACCGTTTTGACCGCTCTCGACTAAATGATGCTACTTTGAAAGAGGAAAGAATCGAGACGGAAATATCAACAATAGATCACAATCGCGTTAGTCGGAGAAAGTGAGCTTCTGCTAACATTAGTCGTGTGGATTTAAAATTTCGTGGTTTTATGAAATCTGCATGAGCAAGGTTTGTTTGAGCAGCCTTGAGAGACCCATCCGTTCTCTGGCGACCGTCACGCCGCCCTAGATCGCCCGGAGAGCGGACCGTGAGAAAATCACTTATGCAAATCCGGGGAATCGATGTTCGCGGCGCGCGCGATCTGCCGCGTTTGCGATGCGCGACTTGCATAGGGTTGCTTCTTGGAACATTTATCTCGGAATATCTGTGACCTCATGTGACATAATATTTCGCAAAATTTTATGCAATTACTACACCATAAATCATATCCAGACTATACATTTTTTTAAGTTAAATTTTATAAATAAGAAAAAGTAAAAACATTAATTTATTACCGAATTATTAAACTCATTTATAATTTAAATTAAAAAAAAATATTTCGATACAATATGTTGTTTCAAAGTTTCAAACAAATTGTGAGCTGATGAACAACTACAATTTTCGAGGTCAGAAAACTCAAGAACAAGGAACGTTTTAATACTTTCATTGTCTTTAACATTCTCGCACGCATCTTGTGCAGTATAGAGAAGTAATATTACAAGTTAACCTTTTGCGGCAGCCCTGCGTCTCGCGGGGCGAATGGAAAGTGCATCGGTTGCGCAAGCGCTCGCGCGGCCTGCATCGTCTGCACATGCGCTCGCGGTAGCACATGAGGCAATTTGTATGCTATGACTGCCTCTAAGGTGTTTTTTACCCGACTGCGCCAGACGGATGGTTATGTTTTTTATGATTGATAACAAAGTTTTAAGTTGTTTTTTTTTCACTACATACTTTGAAGTGTAAATGATGAAGTTAGTTTCAGTTAATTTCGGTACCTACTATTCCCTCTAAAATTCACGAAATAATAAACTTGCCTATACCTGCTAACAAAGTAAGCTAATGAATGACATGTGACTTTCTTTAGTGTCCATTCAAAACCACAATTTCATATGAAGTTAAAATTTAATATAGTAATGGAATCACATCATCATCAACAGCCCTTTACAGTCCACTGCTGGACTATGAGCCTCCTCCACTATAGTGGAGGGTTTTGCCATAATCTCCACGCTAGGCAGGCGGGTTGGAGATTGCAGTTTAAAAGATTGATGTTTTTCAGAGAGCGCCGCTTTCGAGCAGAATACATTTGTCACCAACCCCTACTCTTCCCGCGGGTGTCGTAAGAGGCGACTTAGGGACTACACATCAAACAGAGAATGGGCAGCGGCGCTCTCTGAAAAACATCAATGGAATCACAACATTCAAGAAAAGCTCTATAAGGCTAGTATTGGGTTTACTGGAATGCTTCTAGATAAACTACCTCTTATGCAAAAGATGCACGACCACGCTGCGAGTGTTGACACATTCATAGCTGACAAATGCCTTCATCACATTCTGGGACGATACTTAAATGAGATATCATCAGTGACAGTTTACTGGAATGTCAATAGTTGATGAGATGGCTTCTTTATTCAAGATTTGCAATCTTATGTAAGAAGCTACGAAATAGATTTATGCAGCCATCATGACCGATGACCTAATTACAGCAAACATGAAATTGAAGTTTCTGAGATTACATTTTGTCTTTTATTAAATAAATTGCTGATGGTAATTTGCGCGCTGAGCGTTGCGACTGTGTGTATTAACTCAAATCCATTCACTGACATCAACGCTTTAACACTTCATTTCTGTTTTATTGTTATTATATTTCAGCAGCAATCACTATTATTACAACGATAATGTGTTTATTTGGTCGATGTTGCAAGAACCTTTGAATAGCATAATTTATTAAATTATTGTAAGTAGAAAATATTTGCTAATGAAGGCATCGATAAAAATAATTATGTTAAAAAGCCGCTCGCTTTATTGTCATTCACCAATTATATTTTTAATTGATATTTTTTCACCATTATAATTTAAGAAGTTAGACAAAATTAGACCTTGAAATTCATATAAATTTTATTTTTTTCTAATTCACCCATTATTTTTATGGAAATAAGGCAACGTTACATATTTTATACGCACAACCCACATCTTACGTAACATGACATGCAAAAGGTGAAAATCATAAAAATATTTCCTAGTAAATCCAATTATTTCCCACGCATTCGTATGCACATCCGTGCGTGCGCGCAGATTCGCACGCGCATATCAGTTACCGCACTGCACGATTCGACTCACAGGAACGTAAAAAAAAAATTGAAACTGTTGAATTCTCACGGAGTCCTGTTACCGTTCACGATCACTTGGTCACTTCACACTCGGTGGACTTACCGAGGATGGGGAGCACCACTAGAGCGATCCACACGGGAAGCATGCTGCCGCTTGGTGCGCCGCGAAGGGACTGCAGGTGCCGCGCGCGCGCCGCCCGCCCGGCCGAAAGAGGGGGGCGCTGAAAGCTCGCCGCCCGCCCGCTCGCGACGCCACAGTGTAAAAATGCGGAGATGTTTAATTGAGGTATGCGGACATTCCTTTGTTACGATGCTTATTCACAATGCTACTATAACCAGGCCTGTGTACCTACCATGAGTTTACGTTAGGTGTGCTCGCTAGCGAAAACGTAAAAAATCTCTATGGAGATTTTGTTTCTAGAAAGTAGCCGCTAGGGGCGCTGCACAATATTTCATACAATTAATGTCATTTTTTTACGCAGTCGCTAGCGAGCACACTTAACGTAAACTCATGGTAAGCACACTGTTCATCTCCGCGAGTTAACATCGAAAACAAAACACGGACGATGGCCCACCTACAGGATACCTACTATTCGACAGGCCTCACATACGAGCGAACATTGACTCACGCACGCTTATTCTTGTGTATGATGGAAGAAAATAAAGAAAATGGTGTACTAAATGCTGTGCAGTATTTAATTGCCTAAATAATAATAAAAACACAGATTGTACTTTTTTAAGTTGCCTCAAGACACTGAGAGGTAAATACGAGTAAGTAGTTAATATTATTCATGATAATTCATGCTAAGCCATTTTCTGCAGTTTGGCACCTCACGTCACATCATTTTACCGAAGTCAGCCCTATAGCTTCGGCGCAGTACCGATCACTGACGTTTGTCAACAAAATGGTGCTAGACTCTTGAGACAGGCTAAATTACACCATATTGTTAATGACATTGAGCATACATTTTTTTAAATACCTTCGCGAAGTAAAACTTCTGTACGTAGTACTTATTATTATTCTGTGCTATAACATTGACTGGAGAGACGGTAGTAAAAAAGAAGAGCGTAAGTGATTCAGTCTGCTGAGAGACTCCGAGTCGCACAAAGAGCAATGGAAAGACAGATGCTTGGCGTTTCCCTACAAGATCACAAAAGGAACGAGTGGATCAGAGAAAAGACGGGGGTCAGCGACATGGTGGAAGAGATTGAGAGCCGTAAATGGAGATGGGCAGGGCATATTGCACGGATGAACCAGAGTCGCTGGGCCAGAAAGACCTTGGAGTGGAGACCCCGCAACAACACCCGCGGCAGGAGAAGACCGCCTAAACGGTGGACAGATGACATCCGGCAGCAGGCTGGTTTGGATGCGTGTGGCCAGGGACAGAAGTCGGTGGAGGGTTGAAGAGGAGGCCTATGTTCGAATGCGAGCCCCCTAAAGGCTGCTATAGATAGATAGATGACAAAAGTTTAGAGTGGGAATTGCGCCGGTTAGTGACTTACTGAAAAATATTCTTTGTTTTCCTCACTACATTAAACAAATTGAATGTGATAGGTTTTTGTTTACTCATAGAAAAATCATCATTTGCATTGGATGGGGTGTAATTGATTTTCACTTACAATACTCGTGATCTGATGAAAATTAAGTCAGTAATTCAACATGTAAAAAAAAATCATGTATTTATTTCCGCATCACAATTCTATGCTGGTGAAAATAGACTGTGGGCAGTACCATCTTCCATGTACGCGTGATTTATTAGCCATAAATGATGCCTATCTCCGCAGTATTGTCTTCTGCTCATTACGCGCGACCACGCTTCATCGTTACGTCACGCTGCTTGTTAGAATCGGCTAGAACATGTTATTATGAACAAACCCAAATTATCGTGTGAATTATTTCAAATTATCGGTAAAATATGGCGTCAAAGCTACTTCGAGTAAAAGACATCAACGCATCAGCGGCGATTAAAGTTGGATTGTAATTTTAAATAACTCCAGGAAGTCGTGAAATGAAAGTATTGATGATTAAGATAGGAAACTATGTTAATGTAGCTATATTTAGTGCTTTTTTGCTTCGAAAAAATTAAAATTTTGACATAAGTTGAATGGAAAGTTGCAATTTTATTAGATTTAATTACTACTCGGTCATTCCACTATTTCTCCATAGTACCACATGTATGTAGGTAATAGAAGTCCAGCTGTTACAAGGAAGATGGCGAGAATGTACAGGGCATAATCCTCCTAACAAAAAGCCTGCATAAAAACGCAAAAATATATGTTCTCAATTTCAAATCAACTTTTGATATAATCGGTATAAGAGCATGCCTAAAATAAGTAATCTATATATATAAAAATGAAACCCGTTTCGCGTTGTCACGGCATCACGTGTGAACGGCTGAACCGATTTCGATAATTCTTTTTTTTAAATGTTTGTGGAAGTCCAAGGATGGTTCTTACGAAAAAAAATATTAAGAAAATCTCTACGCTAAGGCGGTACGAAGTTCGCCGGGTCAGCTAGTAATTTATAGAAATACTCGCAATTCACAAAAGTATCTATAGGCACAAACACAATGCCATATCGCAGTACTTTCTTTTATAAGCATCAGAAAGTTTCAGTCTCTGCTCTGGTACGACTTTATCACCCATGTCGTGACCTAACCCAAGACTAGTTCCGCAGAATTAAATTAAATTCCGGCATTCAGTATCAGTCTGTGACATCTGCATCTGTCGGTTATCTCGCGAACAATTAACGTGACGCACCTACGGCTTGCGCAACGCTCGTGACACGCGGACGATCAGATAACTACTGTTTCAAAGCTCATATTGTTATGCAAAGTTTAAGGAATTATTTAGTTTTCAGTGCTTCAAGGAAAATAGGAAGGAAACGTTAGGAAACAAAACTAACGGAACTCTAGTATTCATACAGATTTCTTTCAAAATAGGTAGTTACTCGTATCAAGGATTTCCAAAGTTGCACTAAGTAATGACACATAAAAGAAGTTTTTTTTAATTCATTCTTTTGTTACGGATTTCCAAAGTATAAATAAGAAAAGAAACAAAAATGAATTCTTTTTCGTTTACCATCTGTGAAAAACTTTCAGGGATGTATACATATAATAAATAGTAACTGTAAGATAATGTATTTTTTCATATCCCTTAGGTGAAATATTGCTGATGATGCAATACATGAAGAATATGTATATTTTTTTTCATTTATTTTACAACTAAAAAAGACAATTATATTGGGACAATTGCAATTTACTTACTTTTTAATAACGTTGCCTTTGTTTTTAATAGGTTATTTTGTAATAATTTTAAGCAGATAATAAAAACATTTCAATATAATTGGTCACTTAAATCACGGTAACACTAGCATAAGTATTACCGTGGTTAATTTGACTAAAATTTAAAAAAAATTAAATTTTTCCGAGAAATTATGTCGAATCGCGTCACACTTTGTAGTTGCTGTAACTTTCTTCACATTATGAATATTTATTAACGTGAGTCATACATTTTCATATTTAGTATCCACATAACACACTTATCTTTAGTGCCTCGTTAAGTTATATAATAAACAATAGTAAATTAATTGATGTTATTTTGTATCTTTTCATGCGTGGGATTTCACGATTGCGCCTACGATGGATTCTTCTCCGCCTACTTGATCAAACATTAATAGAAACATTAGCGATGCGTCATAATAATCAAGATTGAACGCTTCATTGTATTTATTGTTTCCCTAAATTCCAAACTGTGAATCAAGTATTGAATCGTAGGAGCTATCACACGATAAAAGTTATTAAATAAATGTATTTGTGTTTTAGTTGCATTTTTCCTGTACCACAAGGTGGAGAAGAATGTCTTTATGCCCAATTGTTGACTGAAAAAGAAAACCCTTATACCTTATAGATGTCTGTGCCATGCGATGAGTCCTTATTAATATACTTGTGTATTCAAAAAATATATCAAATTAGAGTGGTACTAGGTTTTATTAACAGAAAATGTATAACGATATAAAAAGAATAAAATAACATTTAAATAAATATATTTCCCAAATACTATCAGATTAATTCTAAGCACAGTCAGTCAGTGATGTCATGTAACAATAGTCATGACTGTCAACGGCATATTTTCAATGCAAGAAAATGTTTCGTAGTGCAATTGTTGTGAAAGCACATCGCGGGATGCCAAGTAGGGCTCGTCACCTATCACGCTGGCCCTATAAACCCGAGAGAAAATATTCAGAATACCGAACAGTCTCTCACGACCGAAGACGACCCGGCAAACTTGTCGTTTCTATTTATCAAAGATTAATATATCATTAATTATTGTCAGTAAGCGCTCCAATATTGTTAACACAAACAGAATCATAAAAAGTATTATTTAGTTTATTCCTGAAGTTACAGTTGTTCTTGGCACGGACTTTATAAATATAAACATTAAACCGTTCAGCCAGATTACGTCCATTGCTGGACAAAGGCCTCACAAGGATTTTCATAACGACCGGTCCTGCGGTGACAGGACCCAGGTTCTTCCAGCGACCTTCACCAGATCGTTGGTCCACCTAGTTGACCTAATAACCCACCATCTATTAACGAACGAGTTATAATATTAGAATATAATTATATTTATTTACTTTAGAACAGGTTTTCGGTACAGGGAATCCATTACTCTAGCTGACCGTGAAGACGACATGCTCGACATACAGCCTCAACCATCTCACAGCCGAATAGACCTTGTATGAGACCTACTCGTATATCACTCGTACCTATAATATACAATGAGTTACAACAATAGCCGATAACCTGAAAGTTATACAAATCGGTTTGTAAAATCAATTATTTTTCTTGGGGAAAGTTGTTCAGGTATCTGAATATAGTCAGATTTCAGCATAACTGGGATTTTTCGGAACATCTATGATACTTTTCGTTATTTAAAGATGTGTAAAAGGATATAATGTAGTCAACTGTACTGACTTCGTGCACGCTCTCACACGTAAAGCCCCATAGTAAATCTGTGATGATCAATTATGGGCACGCTAGGTTTCATTACACAGTGAAATATGATAATTAAGATTTGGCAGCTTAACACCAATGATAACTATAATTTAATGTTCGTGATTAACTTTCTATTGTGACTTGTATCATTTTAATTTCTAGAAAATTCTATTATACTATCTTCTCTCTAC